ATTGAACTGCAGTCCCTGTGCTTTGCTAAGCTTGTTCTAAGTAGGTGCTTTAGACCACTGAGCCATCTCACCAGCCCCAAAACTGTGTCATTTCTAAGATTTTTTAAATTATGTTTTATTCTCTTTCAAAAAAATTTAAAAGAAGAATGTATAAATTCAAATCAATATTATATAAATAAAACTTAAGAGACAGGATAATTTTAAGTCCTTCCCCTCAATTTCAAAATCTTTTAATTACAAAGTACCTTCTACATCAGACAAATACCAATTTTAAAGTTAGCAGAAGCTATGCATGGCATTTGGGAATTAAAAGGCATCCTTAACAGAAAGAAACCAGAGGCACCAGTTACAGAACAGGTTTAACATACTGAAAGGCAGAAGGTGGCATCTACCTGCTTACCTCTGACCATCCTCCAGCATCTTCATTGCCTCCTTCAAGTTTCTTCCCATTTCAGCTAATGTAGGGTCTGCTATCTGGGAAACCAATAAAGGCTGAATTTTAACACTTCTGTATTACTTCTGCAATATAATTCACCCAGAAGAGCAAATCCAAGTCTTTTGGATTTATTATAAAATACATGTAAAATTTCCAAAAGTATAAAAGTATAACATAGTATAAAAACGAAGTATAAAAAGTAAAGCCATATTAATATGCTGAGTTGTAACAGGCTCAAGTCAACAACTTCAGACATTGCTAGTCTTACAGAAAACCCACTACTATTATGGATTGCTGGACTATATTGAAATATTTTGCTGAATTCATGCACCTACAATATTTAAATGATAATGGAATGCCCTTCTCTGACAAAACTAAGCAAAAAAGGGGAATACAAATGAAAGACTATTTTGTATCTGTATACTCAAAATAGTTAGGATAAGATATACAGCTGCATTGTCTTAATTGAATGAATAGAGATTTGTTCTAATAGTGTTTGTAGACAGGATATCATGTCTACATCTTGTACAATGAATAACCACTTAAGACAACAATATGCAATGTATGAATTATTGAAAATGTGCTAATAATTGGTTTTGAAACTGCCTCATTGCTATTTGTTTCTCAATAATTTTTTTTAAGTATAACATAAAAAGTAAAACTCCTCAGTTCTACTCCCTACAGGATACCATTTTAAAGTGTGATACATCTCTTTCCAATCAGAAAAAAGTTAAACTTGGGGGAGAGGCAGGTTACTGAGGATGAAACCAGTTCTGGGGCACATTAGGCAACCACTCTAGGCTAAGCTATATAAATCCCCAGACTGAAAGTGTTAGATCTTAGGTGACCTGCAACAGGAAGATTCTTCTGAGCTTCAACTCCCACAAATAACTGGAGGGGAGAGGAGTAAAACTTAGGGTCTAGGTTTTTAGCTTTTTAACTCCCCTTAAGCTTTGTTTATGTGTACAGATTTGAACAAAACTTGATCTGTAAAAAGTTTCATTAAAAAGGGAAAGAATAATGAGGTAAGGAAATTAAGACAAAGGAATGATTTGCTAGTGGTCACAGGGCTAATAAATGACAGCATGGAGCTGAAACACTAGCCACGCCTTCATACTGACTATCACAAGTAATCACATAGCCATAGCCACTCTGATTTTTAAACAAAACAAAAATCATTTTCTAACTGGTATTTTCAATAAAATTCACCACTTAAATGTAATCAGGAGATAGTTTATAATGCAATCTAAGGGGTCTCATTGCTCTAATTCTGAGTTAGGAAGACGAATAGATAATGGACAAGAGAATTTATCTTAAATCTGCTGGTCATGTTCCTTATTATCCTCAATTCTTGAGACTCTACTCCACGACTGCTACTATCTTGCCCAATGGAAACAATTCTGTTTGATCATCCATGCTTCACACTTCTGATACTTAGCCTATCAGAACTGAGCATCCTTGTGCCTTTTATCTATCTATAGTTATCTACTCAATGACAATAAACCAAATAACCAGACCTTTTGCCTGATAGCCACCCTGAATAAAAATAAAGAGTTGAATTTATGGCAATAGTGGGACAGTCTCCATACAACTGGGGCCACTTTGACATGTAACTGCCATTCATCTGCATGATTCCTTATATCTTACACTGTGAATTGTTTTATGACTGCTCTTTCTAGCACAGACACTCTCCCCAACAACACCCTGTGCTTCTTCCAGACACATATTAGACTTGTACTAATTTTCATTTGTCTTACAGGACTAAGAAGGGTTCAAAGTCAGCTCTACTCTCAGCCTTGGGGAATCATATACTTGGTCTATAAGTGCAACACAACTAATTTTACCTATAAGATTAGAAGTTTGTTTTGTTTTGTTTCAGTTAAAAATAGATAAGATAGGGGCTGCTGAGATAGCTCAGCAGTCAGCAAAGGACCCAGGTTTGATCCCCAGTACCAGATGCCATGCTGGTCCCACTCTGGGCACAATGAGCTGGCCAACCAGGCATGGTGGTGCACATGTAATCCCACTGCCAGAGAGGCTGAAACAACAGGATCACTACAAGTCTAAGCTGCATAGTGACACCCTGTACCAAATACATAAAATTAAAAAAAAAAAAAAAAAAAAAGATAAGATAGCCAGGCCTGGTGGTATACACTTGTAATCTCAGCACTCTGGAAGGCAGAGGCAGAACTAGAAGCCCTATTCTTACCTGGAAAATTTAGCAAGACCCAGTCTCACAATTTGAAAACTGAAAAACAGGGTGGGCACTAGAAATGTAAGTCACTGCAAAGGCACTGGGTTCAAACCCCAGTAAAAGGAGGGAGGGGAGAGACTAGACAAAATCGCTGACTTAATTTAGAAATCACTCTGCATAACCATATGAATTTAGAAACACTAATTTGTATATATCTAATGATAAGATGCTAATGCTATGAAAGTCAGGAAGAAAGTGCAGATTTATCATCTCTTCCCTATCACTCAAGTAATTTAAATGTGAATATAATATGATTTTAATGCTGAAGACCCTAATGTAGTTGGTGCATTAACTGGATAATCCAAAACATGAAGCCTTATCTAGCAGCAGGATAATATCAGGTTTTTAAATCAAGGAGTACTCTAAGAATAGTTAAATATTAATTGGTTCCTTAAAACTAAAAGCTGGGTGTGCCAAATAGCTCAGTGGATTAAAGCACCAGCAAGCAGGCACAGGGGCCTGCCATGCCAGCCTACTCCCAGGGCACACTGAGACAGCAATTGAGACTGGGCATGGTGGCGCACACCTGTAATCCCAGCTGTTAGGAGGCTGTAAAAAGACAGATTACTACGAGTCCAATCTAGTAGTGAGACCATGAACACCCTAGATCCTTCCCTAAAATACAAAAAACAAAAATAAAAAATAACATAAAGCTACTACTGCTAGCAGCCACTATTTTCTTATTCATATTTCATATCCGCAGTATCTGTTACAGCACCAGACAAGGGAACTATGTGCTCAGTATTACCATATAATAGTATTCTGTGCCAAGTTCTTAGGAAGAATGTCATATTTCTATATTCCTTAGCACCAAGTAAGCAAGGTCTGCCACAGAAAAGGTGTTCAGTAAGATTTATAAACATTAATAACTATTTGCACTGGACTGCTTACTATAATGTAGGGATTATACTAATTAACCACTTTACACACATTACATCCTAATCAACACAAAGCCATATAGTTATTACGATTTAAAGCCAAAACTTACAATAATCTTTATTACTGCAGAACCAGGACTCATAACTACAGTACTAGGAGAGTAACAGTAAACCTTTCAGAGACCAGGTGTCGACAGTGCAACCCAAACACCACTTATTTATTGTAAAGTACCAGCACTACAGTCAAACCCAAATACTGAGGTCTTAGTTTAGGGAAAGAAAAATTCATAAAGTAATATCTTTTGTCTTAAAAATACAGTAACATCTTTCAATGATACAAACAGCTCTTTATCAAAAGGTAAAAGTTTGTATTTGCCATTCTTTTGCACAGTTAATGTGATTTTTGCTGCTGTAACTATGCTGATAATTTGTCAAACCATGGAAGGAGTGTCCTAACTCATGTGCCCAGAGAGGGCCTTTGTGCTGCAGCAGCAAGCATGCCGTAGGTTTGCCGCCACTGTACTAAGCAATACCACTTCTTACTCTTATCAAATAAGTAAATGAAGCAAACTGTACTCATAAAAGGTTCTGCATTCAAAAATCATACTTAGAACTAAGATCTGATTTTAAAGATTATCTTTGCTTAATGTTTTCGCTTTGGAAAAAAAAAATGATTCTCCACATAGGGAAAATGTCCATCATGCATCAGTCCTGCTTAGATGACTATAAACTTACCTAAACTTGCACATTTTTAAGAGTGAAAGGTGATACTATTAATAATTAAACCGGGACAAAAGGTATAAACTGGGATGGTTCTGAGTAAACCAGGATGTACAACTACCCTACCCTTAACTAAAACATTTACTTCAGCTCATAGCCCAATATTCCACCAGGGAAGCCCAGGTAAAATTTATGTGATATTGGTGGTTGAAGAGTTATAAGGTTAAAAAAAAAAAAAAAGCCAACATAAAACTTGAAAGCAGTGCACCTGCAGTGCAGGTATTGCCAATGGCATCAGTCTCATTCTGTAGGATCATGCAGTATTGCTACAGCAGACTTCTTCTCCAACCCATAAAAATGGAAAACATTTTCCGGTATTTAAATTTTGAGTAAATAACCTAATAAAAAGCTGGGCTTACTAGAAACAAATTCAGAAATAAAAGGTCCCCCTTTTTAAACAAAAAAGTCAGTAGCTTCCAACTACTCCTCTGAGGCCAACTGGCATTTAGTGTATTTCTTTTCCAAGATTTTTCTACCAACTTTAAGCAAGCCAATTTAGTTGCAATATATGTATTTCATATGTAATGAATACAGTATTTCAAGATGCTTTTCTAGGAAAGGGCGCTATAACCAACACAGACTTCTAATTTGTATTTTTAGGACCTCTGCTTACCCTAAATCCCTTAGGTTTAAAAAGACTTGTAGCAATTACACTGATAAATGGAATAATTCACCAAAAAATTCAGCAAAGCATTTTCTAATCACAAACTGACAGAATGCCATTGTTAAGAACTTAGAAACAATTATATTTTTCTTTGGTTGCAAATTTATAAATCACATTTAAGTTATGGTTGATTTTGTTGTATAATGGAATAGATTCGGTATTTTTGCTACAATATTATCTAAATAGATATGTGGTAGAACTTGAGGCTCCTAATGAGAGCCATTCAACTGTGTGCTAATGTGCCAGAACCAAAACTTTAAAAGAGCTTGTTTTGTAAAACAAGCCCTACCTTTCATCCCTGTATAAGAATTTTAAAAAAGCATTTTTCATAGCAAATGATTTTTACTACTTTCAGTCTGTATGGGGTATTAAGACACCCTTCACTAACAGAAGAAGAAATATTACATGCCATACTGAAAGTACTACAAGTTCTCACAATTTAAATGTTAGAAGGGAAAAGTC